ACTGTATATAGTAACTGTTAAGTCTAATATACCCTAGTAAGCTGTAGTACTTTTTCCTTTGGGAACCATCTGTGCAGTCTAGTGATGTGTTGATCACGAACGAAACGTCTCTTAGAGCCGGCTCTTTGACGTGAACGATGAGCAGAGGGGGGAGGGGCGATAGTTACACTCAGTAGCACAGGAACAGAGCGGGAGGGAGACAGAAAGAGCAGGGACAACAACGTCACATTGGAAAGGTATAGTAATCATCCACAACTATTTTCAGCTGCAGATGATAAAGGATTCACAAAGTTTATTCATGCAGGTCCATATGACAGAGAATATGCATCTTCTTTTTGTTTTATATTATAAGTTATATTTAATTGTGTTGTGGTTTGCTGTGTTTTGTGTTGTTTCACTTTAAATTTGTTTAAAAGGAAAAAGCTTAAAATTTAAATAGTTAAAAGTTGAAATGTGAATAGTTGGTTTTTGTATTATATGATTTATTTATTACATTTTATGTTGAGAGAATAAATAAAAGTACATTTACGGTGGCCCCTACAGACAAAACACACACAAAGCACAACAGAAGTGCTCCAGGATGCTAGGGGGCAGTGTTGAGCTTTTGTTACCTCGTGGCTACACAAGCCAGGAAGTACCAACGACCGGATTTGGTGTGGTAGTAACAGGTAAATGAACAGATTTTTTAAATGATTTGAATATATATGAGTGCTATTGTATAAATACATAAACAATACACATATACTTTCAATTGTGTTTGTTTTTAAACTTGAGTTTGAACTTGTACAAAACGCAGCAAGATATTTAAAAAACAATTTTATTGATTAAAAAACACTATATCGGATTCATATCAGTATCGGACATAAAAAAGTGGTATCGTGCCATCTCTAGTCCAAACATCTTTAGCTGCTTTAGTGTGACTCTAGGCTAACCTTGACTTTTTAACGTTAAGCTCTTATTTGTTAAATCCAGTTTCACAGACAGAGTTAAATCTGCGTCACTCTTTGGGACTCCACAGAGTCAATGAGTCTTTATTCTTGTCACCTTTAATTGTTGGATGTTTTTCATTTTATTCCTGTTTTGTAGCCCTTTGAAGAGAAAACTGTTGTGTTGGTTTTCTTACATTTTCTGTTGCGTTGTTCCAGGACAGGAAGTAAGTGTGTTGTTAGTTTAAGGGTTCTGGCTGTAAAACAAACCTCGTCAGGATTATGATTTTATTAGGATTTTGTGCCATGCCGATACAACTAAACTGGAATTAATTAATGTGTAGTTTTAAAGTGATAAAGTGCTCTCACAGCAGAGCAGACTTTTAAATATTTAAGAACTAATATGACAAAGTCAAACGTGGTAATGTTGTATTACTGCAGAATTAAGGGATTATTATACAAACTAAAGCTAGTGTTTAATTCTGGGTGGTTTATCATTATTATATTAATTATGGAATAAAAGTAGAAGTTTGATTATCAGAACCGTATTTGGCCATATTTTTAGGCACATGTGAATGTGTTTTGTTTCATATAAAAAACAAGATTTCATGTACATTTAAACTAAAACAAGTATATTTTACTCTATTGTCTCACTAGAATGTAGTTTAATTATGAAAATTCCCATATTTTGACAAGCTGGTGAATCTGTGGTGTGGCTGTAGCTCAGGAGGTGCAGCAGGTCAGTTCCAGTGAGCTCCAGTTTACCTGGACAGCAGACGTGGCTCCGATGGGATAGATGGTGTACACGCCGCTGGGTCGGCTGCTGTCTTCGTTGTAGATGTCGCTGCAGTCCAGCGGGAGCACGAGAGGAGCACAGCTGCTCAGCAGAGGCACCAGGAGGAGGAGGAGGACTGACAGCAGCTGACACAAACAGCTCAGACCAGAGTCCTTAAAGAGGGAGTGTGTGGACACTGCAGGTTATTATAGC